TTTTTTTTTTGTTTGTGTGTTTTTTAAAAAGCTAAAGTGGATAGAGAGAAATACTTTTAACTGATGGTATATGGAGGGGATTATAATCATTGTAATAAAACAAGTTATATGGAAAAAAAAAAAAGGCAGGGCAAAAGTACTCTTAAAGGTACAAAAATAGAAAGCTTTTTTTTTCAATGTTTATTGTGAATTATGTGATAGTTTACATGGGGAGAACATTAACTTTACATTCATCCTATTGTATATCGTTTCATTGCCATGGTTTCAGTGCCCTCCATGAATCATCAAACAACCAAAGGCTATACCCTTCAAGCTTGCCCCCAGTCATCAGCACACAGCCTCTCTCCCTCTCTGAGTCTAGAGTCCCCAGCCACTCCATCTCTCTTCATCATCATCTCTGCCTTCCTCTCTGGCATCACTGCTTCTCTGTTAGGGTCCTGTGCTCCGCTCTTCTCTCTTGATGGTCCCAGGGACCTTGGCTTCTAGACTGCAAAATCAATCACTCCCCTTCTTTTGCTACAAAACGTCCACCTTTATATTTCCAACCCTCATAGTCAGTCCTGATAGTAATTATTCACTATTGTACTACAAGGGTCCTATCCCCATCTCCTTTCATTAGCCCCGCCCAGACAGATTCGATACTACTCTGGAGATTCTACCTTCCTCCAGGCCCTCTGGATCTAGGTTCCCTCTTGAAAGCTTGTAAGCCAGTTACTTCTTGCCTTTGTAGCCCCCCCTATTTTGGGTAGCCAATGTCCAAGTTGTCCATCCCTGTAGGATGGGGTGGGAATGATCCTCGCTGTAAAGATTTGTTACTTCTTTTGAGCTACTGCATCCATAGGTGTAGGTCAAGTTCATCAAATTCTATCAGATTACTCTTTTTTTTTCCCCCTCTTCTTTCTTCTTCTGGTTGAGCTCTGATCATCCAGTCATTGAAGCCAGGTCCAGTGGGTACTATCTGCAAGTGTGGGTGTTCTTATGCAAATGCCCTCTCTTCTTAGCAGCTGGATGCTTCACTCTCCACCCTAGTCCTCTGTGGCCATGTCACTGACTCTGGGCCCAAGAGTCCCTAGGTTTTGCCACACTGCTAGCCAACCAGGTCTCCACCTGGGTGCACAGGAGTCTATTGAATGTTGTAGGGCTTAGCTCACAGCTTCATTGCTGTTTTTCCCTCACTTCCCCTTATCGTTGATGAACGTGGTCACCAATCAGAGTGCATGTCTACTTGTGTATCCTCATTGAGTCTTAGTCTTGGTAGGGGGTTTACCCTGAGGGGACCCGACAACTTGTCTTGGTGTCTCCTGGGTAAGAAACTTGCTTGTTTATATATATATATATATATATTTTTTTTTTTCTTTCTTTCATGTTCTCTCTCTCAATTTGTCATGGTATTTGTTTTGTTTTGTTTTTATCTGCTGTTTATTGTCTTCCTAAATAAAGAACAGTTGGAAGTTCAAACTCACTCCGCAGCTCCACAGGATCTGCGGTCATAAACAATATAACTTGGAAAAACCTGTAGGTCAGGTCTACTCTGTCACATGGAGTTGCTTAATCAGAATTGATTCAATGGCAATGAACAACAACATGTAAAGGAAGCCTGGCATGTTTAATTAATAGCATGCATTTTACTATTTTTCAATGGCTGAATTGTATGTATCCCCCCAAAATTTGTTTTAACTTGCCTAGGCTGCGATTCCCAGTATCATCTGGTTGTCTTCCATATTATGATCTGATGTAATGGTCCTATGTGTTGTAAATCCTAACATCTGCCTCTGATTAATGGAGTATGGTTGTTGTTGTTGTTAGGTACCATCGAGTCGGTCTCGACTCATAGTGATCCTATGGAGTTTGATTAGGTTATGTTAAAGCGGTTATGTTCCCCCAAAATGTGTGTCAGCTTGGCTGGACTATGAGTCTCAGTAGTTTGGCAGTTATATAATGATGTCATGTGGCAGTCATGTGAGTAAAATAAACCAGTAAAAGGATTAAGGTGTAATCCCATCACAACCCTGATCTGATGTAAGGGGAGTTTCCCCTGGGATGTGACCTGTGATACCTGTTACCTTACAAGAGATAAAAGGGGAGAAGTGAGCAGACAGTAGAGGGACCTACCACCATTAAGAAAGATGAGCCAGAAGTCATTTGCATTCTTTGGGCCTGGGGTCTCTGCACTGTGAAGCTCCCAAATACAGGGAGAAATTGATGCCAAGACATATAGAGACAATGACCAGCCAGAGTGCTCCTTGGAAGCCAAAATGGCCAAACTTTGTCTCTAGTACTTTGGACATGTTGTCAGGAGGGACCCGTCACTGGAGAAGGATGTCATGTTTGGTAAGGTGGAGGGTCAGAGAAAAAGAGGAAGACCCCCAACGAGATGGATTGGCCAAGTGGCAGCATCGATAGACTCAAGCATGACAACAGTAGTGAGGTTGGCCTAGGATCAGGCAGTGTTTCATTCTGCTGTGCAAAATGTCGCTATGAGTCGGTACAGGCTTGATGGCACTTAACAATAACAACAACAAACTTTTGTCCAGAGCTGGTGCTCTGAATTTGGGCTTCTAGTCTCCTAAGCTAAATGTTTGTTAAAGCCATCCATGGAGGCATTTGTATTATAACTGTACTAAATAACTAAGACAGTGCTCATTAATGATTTTATGTAGGACTTTGGATTGAGTGTGACTTTGATATGTAAAGTTCAGGGTGCTAGTGGGAGAGCCAGGTGGACCTAAACTATTAGTTCCTGACACTGTTAATTTGTAATTCAGCCTAGAAATAGCAGTTATTAGGATTCCTGTGGTGCTTCAGGTATCTTGGGACCTTGAAGAGTACAGCCTTACCCTCCCTGAGGTGCCTCTTTAATGATTTACTTCCCGACATTCTGCCAACACTTTTCAAACGGAATTATTTTTTGGTCTCTCAGGCTTACGGTGAGGGCTCTGGTGCTGACTGTAGACTTCATGTCCAAAAATTAAATCTGCTGCAGGGACAGGTTTCAGAGACGTTATTCAGGTATAGTAGTGTGAGAGAGGTAAGGTTCTCTTGTCCTGTTTTCTTCTTAAGTATATACTGGAAGTATACAGTGGGGAAAAACCCTTAGATTTCTATGTTTTACAATGTAACAGATTATAAACTTTGAACAATCCTCCCACTGAAGACAACTGAAATACCTGGTAGAATTGTGTGTGTGTGTGTGTGTAATATGTTGATGAACAGGTAAGAAAATAACGTAACCCTAAAAGGTGAAAATGATGTAAGAGTCACAATCCAAAGAGTAAACATGGGAGCTACATGGTGAATTGAAGCCTGGTGTTCTGCAGATTCCATGTGAAGTACTGTGAAGGGTATAGGAAACAAGAGACTGAGCCTAGGGCCCATTCAATGTGGGAAGTACATTAAGAGCCCCACACACAAAGCTGAGTCCCCAAAAGACTACCCTCAGTGTATGAATGAATGAGAAATACACCCACCCACAATAGGAAACTTACCTGTCTTAACCTTGGTAGTGTCAGGAGAGGGAAAAACATCTCTCCAAGACTACTTAGCAAAAGGGAGCTGTCACATTGTTTTTAAGTTCTTTGCACATCCTGAAACCAATAATTTACTTTAAAATTGCCCTGGTGTGTGGTGCTGAGGGATAAAACACTGGACCACCAGGCTGATTTCAGTCACAAAGTCAGAAGTTCAAAGTCACCAGCTGCTCCTTGGAAACCCTGTACAGGGTTGCTGTGAGTTGGAACCGACTCCACAACACCTAACAGCAACAACACAGGCGGCAACTACAATTCCCTCTCTAAAGCAACAAATCTTTTGCCCAAGCCTCAGAGTATCCCGTAGATAAATTTCCAAGAGCATCTGTTCATATAAAAAGCATAAAACACTCAAAGAAACAAGTCAATGAGCAAAAACAATAGATAGGAAGCAAAGTCAGATCCATGAAGACTTCAGTGTGTTTAATATACTTAATGAAATAAAAGCAAAGATTGTTAATATAAGGAGCATAGAACTTTAAAAGATAGCCAGTCAAATTTTAAAAAGGATCAATACAAATGAAAAACCTAATCACTGAAATTAAAAATCCTATAGCTAGGTTAAACAGATTATACACAGCTGAAGAGAGAATTAGTAAAATGGAAGATAAATCTGAAAAAATTATTCACAATGTTGCACAGAAAGGAAAAAGAGAAAAATATGAGTGGAAAGTTGAGAGATTTGGAGGATTCCAACAAGAATTCCAGCAAAAGAGAATGGGGTAGAGGTGGTATTTGAAGAAATCAGAGCTGAAAGATGTACTGGTTTTTATAGATAAACTGAGGTAGCGGTGCTGTATGTGGTAGTTTGAGGTTCTTGTACTTCACTAGAGAGAGTACCAATTTAGTCATATGTTGTAACAACCCTGTGTGACACGGATGAATGTAGCCTTTCGTCCTAACCTTAGTCTTTATATCATAAGTATTTCTACTGGCCATCCAGCACCCCATTCAAGACTACAGAGGCTTCATCCCCTTGCTGTAGGCTTTATGTGGTGAAAGGGCACTACTGTCCCCTAGGGGGTCAGATGAGTCACTGTGACCAATCAAGCTCAGTAACATTCCTTCCCTCCTGTAATAGTTGAGCAATTGTAAAGACTCTTATGGCCCAATCTGATGGGAACACCTCCATTACAGATGGCAGGAATGTTCCGTTGACATTACTTTCTGTGTACCAGGCCTTGAGCTTAGTACACAGAAATATATGCACATGTATATTCCTCATTTCCCTTCACAGTTACCAGTACAGTTGTATCTTCATTGTAGATGAGAAAATTGAGATACAGCAGGATTATGTGATGTGTCCAGAGTCACGCACATATCACTGGCAAAGTCAGGATATAAACTTGATCTGGCTAGCACCTACACCTTCTACCTGTGTTTTATTTCGTATTGACAGGGCTTTCCCAGCCTGAGTCCACAGAAACAAATAGCCCATCTGGCTTAAGCTTTCTCAACTGTTGGAATATTATGAACATGTTAAAACAGCAAAGTTCCTAAGACTCCCAAAATAGTCTTGAAATCCATTGTCAAATTCTTGCATCTTTCTTGGTCACTTTACAAAGAATTTATGAACAATTTTTCCCTAAGGTCTCCCAAAATAGTCTTGAAATCCATTGTCAAATTCTTGCATCTTTCTTGGTCACTTTACAAAGAATTTATGAACAATTTTTCCCTAAGGTCTCTGGAAGAACCTGTAAACACCAGTGAAGAAAAACATGTGGGTTATCAGCAGAATGAAAACATGAGTCTGCAGGTAAGTCAGGAACATCTGTCTCAAGTAGGCTGGACTGAGAGTGGTTCTGTGTACCTTACAGGGTTCCGTCATTTGCAAACACTTACTGATGCCACTAAATAACAGGTACTTTGACTATAAGTATCACAAAGATGAATAAACCCTGTCCCTCTTGTAAGGGTAGAGACAGACATGTGTACAAAAATTACAGTACTCCATGAGAAGGACTTTTACTTCTGTTTGTAGAACTCTACCTTCTGAACTTAACTTGAACTTCACCTCTTTGTATTTCCTCCTCTTGGTTCCCACAACACTGGGCATACCTCCAGTAGGGAATGATGCAGTGAAGTCCCTGGGTTTCCATGTTACCTTTCTACTAGACCATGAGATTCTGCAGAGTGAGTCACATCCGATTGTTCTCTGCCCCAGTGCCTAGTGAAAAGGCTGACAGAGCAGGTGCACAAAGTCTGGGGTGGGCAGTGTATGTAGATGCTTGAGTCAATGAGTAGGTGATACCACTAGTACATCAAAGATGCTGTGGGCACATGAAACTCTGTGTCCTGCCAAGGCGAGAGGGAGTGAAGATAGTTGTAGACAGCCAGAGCCTCCCTGGCCACCTGGAGCCAAGTCCTGCCTCTGCTTGCTGGGCTGCCTGGGCAATGCCCCCCCTCCATTTGGCCTCGATAGCCTTACTATAGAAGGAGCATCTTCGAAAGCACTCCACTTTAATACAGCTCTTGTGTCTTTGTGTATATACTTCCAGTTTTTGTTCATTTACAGATTTAATTTCATACCTTTATAAGAATACCAAAAAAAGAATGCCAAAGCATTCTTCCCACACCCATCTTTTCTCAACGAGGTTTGATAATTCATTGCAGTGGCCACAGAACTTAGACACCATAGTCACACTTAGTAGGTTTAAGTCAATAGGTTACAAATTACAGGCAGAAATGCTCAGGGCACAGTTCTTCCAGTTAGGGCAGCCTCTCGTCTGCCATACCCATAGGCAGGTCTCTGACCCTCGGTCCCTTGGCTTGGCTTCTGCCTTGCCCTGGCAATGTTATAAAGCTCTTTAGGGTTGATGATAGATGCACACAGGGCATACCGCTCCACCATAAGACTCAACCTGAAGGCACTCGGCTCTAGTTCCATTGGTCAGCAAACCCAACTTACACAATTAAGTTCAGGAGATCACCTCATTCTGCAAGCAAACCTCCTGCCCAAAGTCACTGTACTGTACTTGCTCCATGGGCTGGAGAAGTTCACCACACCACTCTCTCTCTCATGCTCTGGCTTTTGGTTCTTCTGCTGCTGCTCCTCTGCCACTTCTCTCGTGTCACAGCTGTCTGTCCCTGTGAGGAGGTTCAATGTGCCGGGATCTCAGGGTCCAAAGGATGTACTCCACTCCTGGCTCTTCTGTGATGTAGTGAGAGCCCCCTTCCTGCTTCTGAAATGGCTCATTTTCAACCCACATTAACTGTTCCCAACTTTTACAATCACAGTTAACTGTTAACAACCACACTGAATCATACCAACATCCCCCACCTTTTCTTACCCAAAAGTTATTTGGTGGGAGTTACAAGGACAACTGGTACAAGAGCCATGTGAAGTAATCCATTACACTGAAAAGAAATGCTTTTTGCATCCTAAACTCATTCTCCCATTTTGCTATGTAGTCTTTGATGACTTTCATTTTTAAAAAAATATCAACAGAATATTTACATTATTTCCAAATGTTTGCTATTATAAATAGTATTTGCTCTTGTTTATAACTTTGATTAGCATCTCTGGGCCTTTTTGTCTTCTTTAGGAGTCACTGGGTCAGGGAGCATGGGCTGTTTTGTGTTCATAATGAGCTATGCCTGCTGTTTCCCCAGTGGGTGCTGCCCAGTGGCACTTGAGGGCATCAGTTTCCCGTCTTCTGGGTGACAAGGTAGACATAAGCACTGAGACCCTTGGACCTAAGAATGGGGCAGGAGAGTTTGTTTTCCAACTCTGAGAATAAACTCATTTCCCAATCCTGTAGGAACGATCACAGCCCACAGAGAGCCGCTGGCTGAAGTATCTGGAAAAGGGTTCCAAAGAACTGGAGCTGGAAGAAGGAGTTGTGTATTCCAACAAACAGCCCTCATCCAAATCAAAGAAGTCAGACCCTCCCTTCAGTAACAACCTCCTTAGAAAAAGGTACCAAGTTATTCATCAGTGTAGCTCTCTGTCCTCATTGATGTGTGGAATGCGGAGACTGAGGAACCGCTTCTAGTGCTCAGCAGTGAGAGAGACGCCCCAGTGAGGGGAAGCTGAACAGCAGCCATCGTTACTAGCCCTCTCCGGACTGGCTTGGGGCTGGGTGCTGCGGTGCAGAAGGGTGGTAGGGCAGACATTATGGTGGCTCGTTTTTACAGTCGTCACTTAACATTTCAGACTGTACTGACCTGAGGAAATAATTGGCTTTAAGGGCAGGACTCAGTCTAAGTGTGTTAGAGTAGCCAAAGGGCTGGGAGCTTTCAGCTTAGAGAGGAAATCTTTTGATGCCAAGGATCTTGGGTTGCTGTTATGGGACAGTTGCTACTGGGAATAAATTTCAGTTTAAAATAATTTTCCAACCATTTCAAGCTACTGAACAGAGAAATGGATTGCTGTGAATAGAAGTTGGCAAGCTGTTATTTGAGGTGGAACAAAAGCTAAGCAGTCACCTAAGAAGCTGGAAGGAATGAAAAGGTTCCTACCTGTGCTGGGGTGGTGGGGCCAGATTCCACTGAGTTAGAAGTTGTAAGGAGCTCAGATGACAGGCCCTGGGGTAGCTGACAGCACTTTCTTCCACACCAGGAAATGGAGCCTACACCCAGTCCAGCCTCCACACAGCCCTGATGCCAAGGACTCAGGAAGCAAAGTTGACTCTGAGGTCACCTGGCAGCCCCAGGTCAGTGTTTCTCTTCTGGTTCCAGTGACCATTGAGCGTACATAGAATTTTAAAATTTTTCTTGTTTTCTTTTGTCAATTGATGGACACTCCCAGAAAGCCCCAGTTTCCACTCAGGTGTCTTATTGTTTTGGCTGTAGGTCAACCTTTCTCTGTCCTGTACCCTGCTCCCTTCCAATAGTTAACCTTTCAAATGCTGTTTCCTCATGGTCAGCAAGCCATCTGATCCCTTGGAGCAGGAATGGGGAAACTTTTTTGCCAAAATTTAACACCATTTGCGGGCCATACAAAATTATCAACTTAAAAATTAGTTTGTTGTATTTGGTCAAACATTTAATTAATTCACACCTAATGTGATGGCTGAAGTCCTGGTGTAGTGTTGCAGGGTAATGCACTGGAATGCAGGGTTAGTTTGAGCCACAAAGTCAGTGGTTCAAACCCACCAGCTGCTTCTCCGAAACCCTATACAGGGTTGCTATGGGTTGGAACCAACTCGACAGCACTTTAACACAAACAGCAACGTGATGGTTGGCACTGTAGTTGCATTGGCAGGGCCAGACCAAATGATTTCACTGACCTTATACGGTCCATGGAGTCCTGGTGTGTTACTGTGGGTTTATGTGCTGGACTGCAGGATCAGTTTGAACCACCAGATCAGCAGTTCAAACTCACCAGCTGCTCCTAGGAATCTCTATACAGGATTGCCATGGGTTGGAACTGACTCGACAGCACTAACAACAACAACAACATATGGCCCGTGGGCTAGACATTCCCTACCCTTCCCTGCCGTAGAGCCATGATGGTTGCCTAATAAGAATTCCCAGGGTCAAGGCCATTTTCTTTATTCTTCAGGGAGTAGTGGATCTTTGTCATACTCTTTACAATAAGACTTGCCCTGCATTTCTGAAACTGTGTTGCCACCCTTGTCCTCACTCACGCTAGGCTTTTATACTTGAGGCATTGAATTCATTAATAAGGGTTTATTTTTACTGCTTCACTGTACACACAGTGCTACAAACACAGGTTCCTGAAACTGACTGCCCTGGCCTGGCGCCATGCTGCCATGGGAGTCATGGGACTAGGCCGAGGAGTCTGCAGACAGGAAACTCTTGGTGTCAGTCACTGTCACAGCCCCAAAATAAGTCCGCATTGGCTGTGGTTACCTCTCAGACCTTGGTGCAGAACATCAGCTCAAAGCCAAGAGGCAGAGTTCAAGGGTTTTGCCGTTAATTCTTCTTAAGACATCCAAATAAGTGCATAGTCCTTAGTCCCCAGATTATGTAATAATGTCACTGATGATAATGATGGTATTCATGTGTTTAACATGTGCCAACCCCTGGGCCAAATATTGAAGCTGAGGGACAGGCTCATCAAGGCTCTGTGACTAGATCAAGGTTACAACAAATTTAGAGACAAAGCCTCTTCCACATGGCCTGGGTGACAGTGTGGTAGAATCCTATATATCACTACTGTCAAGTTAACTTTGTAAGTGTGAGCCCAGCATTTAATGTTTCTTTGGTTGCTGAGGTTGAAGGGCAGAGACGATCTCTGCACCTCTGTCATCTGCCAGGGGACCTCGTCACTGTACATTGCCATGGTTACAGTCCCCTCCATGCATCATCAACCAACCAAAGGGTACACCCTGCAAGCCTGCCCCCCGGTTGTCAGCACACAGCCCCTCTCCCTCTCTGGATCTAAAGTCCCCAGCCACTCCATCTCTCCATGCCATCGTTTCTGCCTCCATCTCTGGCGTCACTGTTTCTCTAGGCAGGATCCTACACCATTGTTTTTGTTAGGTACCATTGTGTTGGCTCTGACTCCTGCGTACAACTAAACAACAAACTAAACAAAGTCTTGCCCAGTCTTTCGCCATCCTCACCGTTCTTTGATTTCATTGTTGTGACCACTTTTTCACTGGTCCTGACTGACCACATATCCAAAGTATGTGAGATGAAGTCTCAACATCTTGACTTCTAACCAGCATCCTGACTGTCCTTTCTCCAGGATAGCTGAATATCCTCCTCCACGCAGCTGAACAGACAGTCTCATCTTTGGGGCCTGAGCAGCAAGGCGGCGTCCTGGTTTCTAAGGGGTCTTCTTGCTTTCACCTCCTTCCAGGGCCCCCTACCTGATTCTAAGATCCACATATAGTGGATTTCCTGATTATATGAGATTATCTTCTTTTTTTGGAAAGCTTTGGGAATTTAATGGAGAAATTGCAGTGAGATAAACCTGAAAAACAAAGCATCTCTCCAGCCTGAGAACTAGCCAGTAGTAGAGCACAAGAACATGACATTCCAGAACCAGGAGCGCAGACAACAATCGTGCTGGACCGTAGAGCTCCCTCTTTCTGTGGCTCGGGGCTTATTGTGACCATCTTCTATTCTTGTATTTCAGAGCTACACTGACCTGACAGGGAAAGTCAAACAAGGAAGCTGCCTCCAGAACTCAGAGAATTGGACTTCCAGTGAGTTTACTGTTTCTCAGTGGAAACCACCCAGGTCTGCCCAGCAGGCTAAGGTTGTATCTTCTAAATGGGAACGATTTCTTCTGTCGCCTGGAGAGAGCTCCCGTGTGGAAAAAGAGCCTCTGAGCCCACTGCAGACAGGCCCCAGCTCAGCTGGTCCAGCACAATCTGAGTCCTGGACCCACAGCCTGAAGGAAGGCAGCCCCACCACGCATCCTGATGTTCTCCAGCCTCCGTGGGCCCCACCCTCTTCTACATCTGGGGCCAGGAGGCCCTGTGAAAAGACTGTGGAGAAGCCATGGGTCTCAAGGACTTTTCAGGTAGAAGGTGGGCCCCTGGTCAAAGTGGAACAGCAACCCCCACCTGTGCTACTGTGTGACCTCTTTAAAACTGGTGAGGACTTTGACGATGACCTGTGAACTGAGGCCAGTGTATTGTTAATATGGGTCCATTTGTTACATGAGCCCTAGTCCACTAGATCTCTACGTCACTGGAAACAGGGTTTCCTTTAAGTTGCTTTTAAATCATAGGGTTGAATATAATTTATAGAGACTACTGAAAGCTGACAATAAACATAGTCAAACAGATCATTTTTTTGTGGAGAGGACAGTGTTTTTTATTAAAGTGCTTACAGTATTTAATTACAAATATGACAACAGAATGGCTACAAAGGAATTTTTATACTTCAGAAGCAATTAATACATTTAGAAAGGAAAGAGCTATAGTGGTTATAAACAAGGAGGCAGTACTGAGTGAAACCAACATCTCAGACTGGCCTTCATTAGCCCTTCCTTATTCCCAAACACAAACTCCCAGTACTGAGCTGTCCTGTCCTAACCCCATTCTCCCTCTTCTGCTCCCTGACGAAATGGTAACATTACTGTATCTAAAATCAGAATAGATCAGGTTTCTATTGGATAATCAACTAAATGTCAGCATACTATCAGCCATTTAAAAAAAAACAAAAACAAGCAGAAGGTCATTAGGCAAGATGTATTCTGGACTGCTGGTATCATCCTGGGGGTGGGGAGATTGCAGTAGGCTGCAGTGTGCCCTCCACGTCCTCAGCAAGGGTAAAGCCCAGAGCCAGGGCACACAGGGACGCTGGTTTCGTTGCTCAAACATCAAAACTCAATACAGCTAGGTTCCCAGACACACACATACTTGGAACTTCTCCTTCATGTCACTTGTTCTACTGCCCTAAAAGGCTTCATGCATCCCCACCCCCCAGATTCTGGAAGAAGAATGCTGAGAAACTGGCCCTTTATAGGGTCTGCGGTTCTACACTAGCTCAACACAACTATGAGACAAAATGGGGTACAGACTAGGCGAGCAAACACTGTCACAACAGTGGTGGGTGCTTTGAATACTGGATGGTGTCCAAAGCAGCTCCGATGTCATAATTCTTGGTCTGTAAGAGCCTGGTGAGCCAGCCACCTTCATCGGAGAAACCCATGGACAGCATCTGGGAGAGGGACTCAATCAGCCGGGGGTCAGCTTCTGCCAAAGAGAGTCACAGGAGCCCATGAGGAGAGACCAATGCAGAGCCCAATGTGTAACAACTACAGCAGCCTTCTATCTCCCCCAGCCCACTGGACCGGACCCTCCAAGTGCACCCTGAACCCTTACAGGGCAGTGACCAGAAAATATTTTCTGTAAAGGGCCAGAGATTTTAAGCTTTGCAAGCTATAACATATGGACTCTGTCACAGTTACATAATCAACTCTGCCATTATAGCATGAAAGCAGCCTAGACAATACATAGAAAATGAGCAAGGCTATGCTCCAACAAAGCTGCCTGTATGGACACTGAAATGTGAATTGTGTATCACTTTCACATGTCATGAAATAGTACTTTTGTTTTAATCATTTATAAATGTAAAAATCATCCTTGGGCCACCCTTGCTCCAAGGCAGAGAGGATATAAAAACTGACAGCCCATGGGCCAGATTTGGCCCATAGATGGGCTTTCCTTTACTTAAAAACTGTTTTAAATTCATTGCTAGGTTGCAATAGTGACTTTATTCCGGGTACATTCTTGTGTTGCCCAAGTGTCCACCCTACCTACACACTACTCGTTTGGTTCTTGTCTGGCTTTTGTAGGGAACTGGGCTGTGGTTCCTGTCCTAAGGTCAGCACTGTCCATGAGGAAACCTATGTGGTAGTGCCAAATCCAGTACTTTCCTCTACATCATGTCTGCCTTCTGAATTCTTGGTCTAGGGGCTGTCATAGGAGCTGAGCTGAACTTATTATTGTTCAACATAGGCGTAAGAGGACAAAACCACTTAATTTTCTCAAAGCCACAGACACCCAAGACAAGAATACCACATCTTTTTTGTTTGTGCTGCTAAAAGCAGCAAACTGCTTGAATTCACTTACCTGGAGGAAGATGTGGATACAGTGCCGCTTCCTTTAGCCCTGTGGGGCCTTCCTGGGAAGGGTCCAGAGAGCTTGGCCCTTCTGATTCTGGCATCTGTAGAGACTGGAGCTCACCAGTAGATGGGTCCACTTCTTTTGAGGACAGATGAGTCCAGTCATCATCTCCTCCTGAACAGTTATCAGACTCCATCTGTTCCTGGAACAAAACTCATCATGAACACATCAGAACATGAGCAATAGGCAGAGCTTGATCATAGCACAAGTTCCTGTGTCTGTGTGGAGGGCAGGCAAGAAGCTATGGGCACAGTGAGCAGCTGCTGCAAAGGCCAAGTCTATTTTTCTGTACAAGTTCTAGCAGAAGGTTCACAGAATGACTTACATAGCCCAGAAACAGACAGTATTGGTGAGGGAGGGTGGCTGAGAGGTGCTGTGGGCAGAAAGTACTGCTAATTGACCTTTCAGGTGAGGGAGAGAAGGCTTGCCTCAGGTTGCCCCACAGGCTCCAGGACAATCTTTTTCATTTGCTCTGTCAGAGACTGCGCTGCGCTCTCCACGTTGCCCTCTGGTTTGCTGGGGTCTGAGGAGCAGCTGCTTGGCTGTGAGCTGCACTTCTCCTCTGTACTAGAGCTGTCTGGAGAGACTGGTGTCAGGCGGCTTCTTTTCCCTCCGTGTTCCACATCAATATCAACTTCAATGCCTAGAGGCAAGAAGAAAACAAAAACGTATTAAATTGCTCTGAGAGGGAATTGCAAAACAAAAACAGGAAAGTAAACTCAGCAAGTTGGAGGGCTGCAGGTTGATGAGTGCTTTCAGGTCTTATCCTCATAGGCATGTGAAGATCAGGATGGAGCATCCGTCGTGTGGATATACATAGATACTGGAGGTGACAGAAGAGCTCATGCCCAAGCGTCATGACCAGTATGAGGCTATGTCCTGGAAAGCCAAGAGGCAGATGGCAAATGGATGATCATCTTTGATCTTCAGGGTGTCCCAATACCCTCACCTAAATGTTTTGCAGATTTATTATTTGGCTTCCTGACATGTCCATCATATTACACTTTTTCTCTTCTGCAAACTTAGTAAAACAATCTCTGCTAACATCCAGAAGATCTTGTTTTTCCAGCCTCCAACCAAGCGTCCAGGAGGCCAGCTAAACAAATCTCAACTTCTATTCCTTGTTCCTTTAGGGGGATCCAGAGGTATACAGATAGCCCAGCACAGCCAGATACGAGCAGGCATCTAAAGAATCAGCTCTATCCTGGGGTGTTCAGCCAGGAGGAAGAAATCGTGTGGTGGTGTGGTGAGGGGAAGGGGCATCTAGGGAGGTAGGCAGGGGGAACATCATCAGAGCATGAGGGTCTGGAGGAGGATAGAGAGCAGTGGAGTCAATTCACCCAGGGAAGTGGGTCCAGATGCAGACAAGTGAGCTGGGCCTCCCGTGTGGCCACGGGGAGCTAAGAGGATCTGTGAGCAGGGCCATGGTGGGTCAGCCTGTCTAGACAGCACGACTCTAAAACAGAATGTGTGAAAGGTGTGGCCTGCAATCAGAAGACCCATGGAGGCTCCATGGCAACCCAATCAGGGGCAAGGTGGTGGGTGCTGGGGGCTATCCCTGCTATTCCCGTTCATACAGGGCTCCATGTCAGGCAGATCAGGCCCTAAGAACAGGGTGAGACCCAAACACTACATGGAGTTAAAAGGCCCTAGGCAGGTTTCCTTAGCTGAAGACCATATGAAGCATTTGGTTTGCATGTCATATCTTGTGATATGAAAAACATGTACTTAAACACTGGAATTCTGTTTCAAAGGCAAACAATGGATTAAGCGGCCTGTGAGGCTGTCTGTGCAGCACAGAGCAGCATGTCCCTGTCCATCTCACACACTCTGAGCACTCCTGGTGAGGGGATGGAGGGCAGACATCTCTGGCCTGCTTTTAAATTAATTTTAATTTGACAAGGACTACACACCTATAAAGGCGCTCTGGTAGCATAGTGGTTATAAGTTGGGCTGCTAACCTCACGGTCGGCAGTTCAAAACGATCAGCGGTTCTGTGGGAGAAAAATGAGGCTTTCTGCTCCCATAAAGATTTATAGCCTCGGAAACCCTATATAGCATCACTATGAGTCGGAACCAACTCCACGGCACATCACCACCACCACCACACGCCTACAGCTTAGGGTCAAACCCTTCAAAAGGCTAAGAGTGAACACTGACAATCCTGCCTACCCTACTCCCCCATATGCCCTGTCATATTCCCTAAAGCCAAATTCCAGCTCTTGCTGTTCTGTTGTGAATGCTCAAGTTTACACCTGTCTGTGTGGTGCTGTAGGAAAAGCACTCGACCTCAAGGTCAGCTTGGACTGCAAAGTTGGTGGTTCAAACTCACCAGCCGCTCCTCGGAAACCCTAAACAGGGTTGCTATGGGTTGGCACTTAACAACAATGTATATTACTCTACATCAATATTGCCTCCCTTTCCCTCCATCCTTTCAGAAACTCAATTTTTGGTTGAAATAATATTTGGCATTTATATTGGTACTATTACATAAGCATTATTTTTTGTTGGACCAAGTAGTACCCTTGATTATTTCTGTGCATAGTTTTTTTTGTTTTTCTAACCTGAATGAGTCCTGGTTGGCACTTTAGGATAAGCACTGGATTGCTACCACAGGTCAGTGGTTCAAACACACACCAGCTGTTCCTTGGAAACCCTATACAGGGTTACTATGAGTCGGAACTGACTTGACAGCATTTAATTACTTTAATGATGCCTTCTTGTTTAAGATTTGCTACCTTTCTCCACATCCTTCAACAGCTTTCCTAGTGAGGCACTAAGACAAGGCTGTGGGGCAGGGCATCATCAGCATCCCAGCTACAGGCTGCCTGGGGGCCCAGATGTCAAGAGCTCGTCTCAGACAACATTTAGCTTCTCCTGAACGGGAAACCTCCAATCTCCTGCCCAGCCAAGGAAGGGGCTGCTGGACTCACTGATGACACTGAATACTCATGATGCCCAGCTTCTGCCTGGTGCCTCCCCCATC